CGCGAACATTATCAAGCTGAGGGAAACAAGAATTTTTACAATTTACTAAGACACTTCGTCTTGAGTACGACGCGATTTGAAGGCATGAGGAGTGAGAGAGAGAGCGCTTCAAGCCAATGTTGCCTTTAGTCAGTCATACAGACGCCGTGGTGGGTCTCACAGTCGGTGTGACCCTAAGTAACCCAGTTACAACTCGCGGTAGCACTTGTGGAAAAGTGGGCAACTCAATGTTTAGTAAGATGTCAGTGAGGTCGCGGCGACTGAGTGTGTGGTGACTTCTTGGGCTATCTCTAACCGTGCGACAAAGTCTTGCTCGAGCTCGGGCAAGATCTCTAGAAGCGAGGGTCATCAGAGCCGTATATTATAGAATGACGACTCTGGGGGCGAGTGGTTGATCAGAAGTGGGGTTTGTTTCTTCTAGTCTTACAATCGTGATGAGTTTTGCCGCTCATGGCGAAGCGGATCTGGCATGAATGTGTTCGTGGTGACCGAAGAACGATAATCAGTTTGTGGTGTTGGCTTAGTCAATCTGATGCTAGATCCTGAGAGTACCCGCTCGTGAAGTAGGTGCTTTATATCTCTCCGCTTGACCGTACATGGCTTCCAGTATATGCATAACGGTGCGCGGGGCAGACGTGCACTCTGTGAAGACAAGATTCCCATATCGTAGAGTAGTCGACTAGTTAGCACCACATCGATTATGCGAACGCCGCATCGACGAACCCGGAAGAGGTAACCGCGTGACACGCCCGCCTCGGTCATGTCGCCTCTGACAATGTTGCCGGTCTACATTGTATTGCAAATGATAAGTTCCACCGGCCGTCACTTTCACCGCTTGCAGGTCTGTGTAAAGGCTTCGTAAGAGAGAAAAAATCTGTCGAGAAATTTGCAAGTCGTCTAACAGCGTGATCAAGACTAGCTCTTCCTTACGGATACTTCACAGTATTGTGATTAGCTCAAAGGACGTGCAGCTAAAAGGTAAGGCTTTTTACGTGGTCGTCTCCATAGACGACTGGTCGCGTTACGTCTTATTTTACATGCTGAAGCTCAACAATGAAGTGCTTGCATAGTTCAAGTGTTTACTGGAGGCCCAAATCTACAGGTACATTAGATACGTCCAAGCTGACTACGCGGGGATTATTTCAGCAAGCGGGTGAGCGATATATGCGCTTAACATCGACTTTTCCACCAGACTAGTGCCCCCTACTTGCTACTGCAGAATGCTCTGGTTGAGCAGACTAAATTTGAGAATTGAGATGGAATGAGCAATGCTATATCATCAGCAGCTTCAAAATGATGGGTGGGAAAAGCATTTGTGAACTTTGCCGTCGCGATCAATTGTCTTCCTAGCCCTGCTCGCTACGACACAATACCATACGAATTATTTTGGAATTTGTAGCCGTCACGTTATGTTTGGTTCGCGCGGCTTTGTGAACGTTGATATATCCAAGCGGAAAAAGTTTGGCACTAAAGTCCACACATCGCTGCATTTTCTTGGGATGTGCATACGAATCAAAAGCGTGTTGTGATTTAATTGTGAATCACAGTCGTTGTTGGTCACGCGCACGCCTTGATGAGCAGTCCTTATTTGTGCGCAGTCCAGCTGCGCTTGGTAGCCGACTGGCATCAAATGGTCATGCATTTATATTGGTTGGTGAACCAGCCCGACATCTTGTTGAGGCAGCTGACATCAGTATCGATAAACGCTCGACAAACTGATAGAAACCGTGTTTCCAACACGATTACCCCCCTGAGACCCAGTCATCCGAGCCTAATCAGGTGGTCCCACGTCAATTCGATTTGACTCATGTCGCATCGCGTTGCATTGCACCTCCTCGCGCATGTCCATGAATCGGCACGTTGGATAATATGCGCATCTTGATCAAGGTGAGAGGATGAACTCACTTCACGATGGGTAAATTCACACCATCTCGTGCAGATTAACAATCGCCGCTGCTGTCGGTCAATGGATTACCCGTGATGTAATAATGTGTTCTTCAATAGGCACCTACATCCAGCCATATTTTCCTACTCGTGACATTGATTTGAATATAGTGGAATACAATCCCAAACGGCTTCACCTATTTGACGGAAGTGAGAGTTCCCGCTTCGTTCTGAAT